CCATTTACTCAGTGTCTAGAGCCTAGATCCTAAATGTCACCCCCAACTCCTACTTCTCAGCCACTCCCACGATTAGGCAAGTCTCCCTAGAAATGGTTCTAGCATCCAGCCTCACCCCTCCATCCCCCTTCTCGCAGCTGTCTCCCGGCCATCAGCCTCAGCCCTTCTGATCCAGCCTCAGAGCGGCTGCCAGGGTAATCTTCCTAAAAAACAAATCTGATCATGTTACTCTCCCGCTTATAGGCCTGACGAGCCTGTGGCTAGGGGGTAGATCCAAGCTGCAGCCAACTGCTCCAGAACACCTCACGGCTTCTGGGACACACGAGTCTCTCCACAAACACAGAGTAGCACCCTTTCCAGCCTCCCCCTGGGCCTCCCCCTGGGCCCCAGGCCTGAAGCCTGGGGCAGAGACAAGCCCAGTTCGGGCCCTGCTTTCTCACCTCATCTCCTGCCTCTTCCCCACCAAATACCCCATTCTCCCGCCGCTCACCCATGCCCTTCCTCCTCTCAGGACTTTGTCCACACTAGTCCCTCTGCCTGGGACTCGTTTCTCTGTTTGGCAGGCTCCCGAGGAGTTTTCAAATTAGGCTGCCCGTTCTAAATCCCATCTACCAGCTGCAAGATAAGTTATATAACCTCAGTGAGCCTTAGTTTACTCATCTGTAAAATGGGGAAAATATAGTACTCCTAGTTCTTAGGGTGGGTGGGAGGACCACGCAAAATAACACACGGCAAGAACTTTGTCCTAAGGCGGAGGCATAGTAAATGCTGCCTCCCACACAAATTGGCTCTTATTTTGATTTCCACCTCCACTCAGCTTAAATGCTACCTCTTCCTTAAAGCCTCCTAGACTCCGACAGGCAGAGTCTGAGCTTTGTCTTTTGGGACAGACTGCTTGGTCCAGCTCTGATCCACACACTTGAAGCTATACTTTATTTCTCATCGAATGAAGAGCTCCTCTTGGGCAGGGACTGGGTTCTTTCCCTCTCTGTCCTCCTAGCACCAGGTACTGGCCTGGCCCAAAGCCCATGCCCTCTAACCATCTAACCACAGCTGACTGACCCTCTTATGCACTGGCCGCTGCGACTCACCATCTTGCTGAAGTGGTATTTGCAGTAGCCACAGTACTTGACGTTGTCCACCTCCAGCACTTCTTCCTCACACAGCAAGCCTGCCATTTGGGCACTAACCAGAGAGGGCAGCCTGAGACGGCTGAGGCCACATATCAGATGAGCCACCTTCCTCCCACCCTCCTGGCCCCCTGCTGAGGTGAAGCCAAGACCATCCAAAGAAAGCATTGCCACCACCATCAAAAAGACAGCAGCTAGAATGAGCCTGATCAGTGGCCATCCAGAACCACCCCAGGGGCGGGGGGTGGGACGGGGGTCTCACCAGGTGACGTGGAAAGCTTGTCGACATCCATGGCGGTTACAGGTCATGCAGGCTCCTGAGGCCGCCTTGCTCTCCCGGCCCTGCTCCTCACAGATGTAACAGGTCTGCAGGACACAGCACAATCGTCCCCTCCTCCAGGGAGCCCCTGTCCTACTGATGGTCCTTAGGCCACCCCTTTCATTCCATTTGCTCTCCACAGTCTTAGATCAGTGCTATCCCACAGAACTGTCTGCAGTGATGAAAACGCTCTATGGTCTACACTGTCCAAGACAAATGCCACCAGTCACATGGGCTATTAGCACTTGAACTATGGCTAGTGTGACTGAGGAACTAGATTCTAAATTGTATTTAATTCTTGTTTATTTTTATTGATTTATTTGAGACAAGAGTCTCCCTCTGTCGCCCAGGCTGGAGTGCAGTGGCACGATCTCAGCTCACTGCAACCTCCTCCGCCTCCTGGGTTCAAGGGATTCTCCTGTCTCAACCTCCCGAGTAGCTGGGACTGCAGGTGCTCACCACCATGCCCAGCTAATTTTTGTATTTTTCTAGAGACGGGGTCTCATCATATTGGCCAGGCTGGTCTCAAACTCCTGACCTCAGATGATCCACACCCCTCAGACTCCCAAATGCTGGGATTACAGGTATGAGCCACCATACCCGGCCTGCATTTAATTTTGATTAATTCATGTAGCCATGTATGGCCAACGGCTACTATGCTGAGTAGCACAGTCCTTGGATGGTGAGCTCTGAAAGGCCAAGGCCTGTGTCTGTCTTGCTCACTGGGGAGCTTATGCCCACCTCTGCGCTTCTGCGCAGGCCTTCTTCTGCCTGGAACCTGGGGCCCTCACCCTCCTGGAAGCTGGCTCCTTCTCATGCCCCAGATCTCAGCCTAAATGTCTCCTTCCTTTACCATCTGGTCTAAAGTAAGCCCCCACCAGGTCTTTATTTTAATGTCTTATTTTCTTCACAGCACTTATCACAAATTGCATTTACTTTGTCTTTTTACTGATATTTATGTTCTTTGCATGCAAGAACTTGCATTCCATTGAGCGGGTAGCACACCTGTCTTGATCAGCACAGAACAGCATGTTCCAGCTACCTTGCACCAGGTCTGGCGCATAGTAGGCACTTAATAAAATGTGTCCAGCAAAGGAATGAATGAAGTACCTGCGAAGGTCTACCCTCTGGCAGAACTACTGCAGAGGAGCCTACTATTTCACCTGAGTGCCAGAGCACGAGTGTGTCTGTCAACAGAAGGGTGGTTCACTGGTAGGTACCTACCCACCTCCCAAGTTCTCTTTCAGTGCTGGTTGGACAGAATCAAATTACACTGGATGAAGAGAGTGTTGGAGGAACCCATGGATAGGAGGGAACTGGTAGGGGACACAGCGGGGGTTGCCGACCTTGTTGAAGCGATCATGAGGCACATACTGCAGCACGATGGGCTCCATGGTGAGCACGTTGGCAAATTGCACCTCGGGGATGTAGAGGGCACACACCACGTGTGCCCAGCCTGGGACAGTGTGGAGGTGGCCTCAGCTGCAGATGGCAAGCTGGAGACTCCACCCCTCATGACCCCATGCTGCAGACCGTTCCCTCCTCCACAGCCTTCCCATCCGATTCCAGCGCCAGCCAGGGAAAGAAAACCCGGCCTCCACCCCAACCCAGTCCACTCCCGCCTTCCCAGACCCTGCTCAGGGGGCCTTGCTGACCTCAGCAGATGAGCCCTCCTCACCTCCATTATCAGTCCTCTTCAATGCCCCGTCTTTGTGTGGGCACAGCTCACACCTCTGCCAATGCAAGGGTGCACAGGGGTTGGGGGATCTGCTGAGCTGGGCCCTCTCTGAACACATTCAAGGGGTCCCAGGCTGAAATGCTAAGCTCTAGCAGGGGATGGATGGGGCTACAGTGGAAACAGGATTGGCCGTGAGTTGGTAACTGTTGAAGATGAGGAAGGGGACATGAGATTCATTATAGTTTTTCCTCTACTTTCATGAGAGTAGGAAACTTCCCATAATAAAAAAGTTCAGACAGACAAAAACCAAAGCCCCATGCCTGAGATGGGGCAGAGGGAGGGATGAGCGTGAGGCAGAGGAGGGGTTGGAGGTAGGTGTGCAGGAAACAGGAAGTCTGTGTGACAGAGCTAAGTCCCACCCCAGCCTCGCCTCAGAGTCCCCTAGCTCAACCGGAGACGCTCAGGTGTGTGGGAGGGGCCCGGGAGTGGAGCGGGGCAGTCTGGAACTCACCACCCTGGCTGCTCGCTCCTGAGATTCACATTTCCGGCAGAACCAGGGTCCCGTTGGCACCTGAACGATGCCATAGCAAGCTGAGGGGGAGGGGGGGACAGTCGCTGAGCAAAGCTGTCAGCCAGTGGCTTTTTCCTAGGGTAACTGGGGGAAGGCGGTGACTCCAAAGAACTAGAGCCAGTTCCAGTAATGGGAGCTGCTCCCCAGTCTGGGGGTCACTCGCTTAACAGCAGGACTGCCCAACCGCACAACACCAGCCTTCAACCACACAATCAAGCACTCCAAACAGGGCGGGAAGTCTGAGTCTTTGACCTTAAACTTCTAGAAGATCCTCCCCCCACGCCCTTTCTGGACTTGTTTCCCAGCTCCTTCCCCGGACCAGCCATCAGCATCAGGAACAGAGAAAACCAGAGGGGACAACAGTCACGACCGTCAAACACGTTTTGTTGTTGTGGGCGGGGGGATTTCTTAAAGGGCCAGTGAGGGACGAGGCGGAGAAGTAGGGGGTCTAGGGACCTCATCTACTTCTAAGTATCACAGAGTCAGGTTAAAAGTCAAGGCCGAGGGCAGGTGCGGTGCTGGGAACCCAGAGGAGCGTGGCGGGAAGAGCCCCGGGCCACAGCATTCAGGGATGTCCCAGGAAGGGGGGGCCCGGCTGCCTGTGCCAGGCAGGCGGGAGATGCCAGCCTGCGCCCTCGGCAAGATTCCTCAAGGAGTTAACTCCCGAACCATGTGCTGCTGGGGGAAACTCCAAGCCTCCCTCTTCTCGATTCCGGCCCCCTGCACAACCTCTCTCCTATCCTTAGCTCTTCCCCGGCGGATTTTAGGAGTCCCTTCTCCCCTGGGACCCTTCTCTTCCCTTTCCAAGTCCGCTCCTCCCATTATCCGGAAGCGAGGGGGGATGACGCCCCCCCTTGACCTCTTCCTCCGGGAGCCGGGACCAAAATAACCCGGCGGGAGGGGACACCTCGCAGGTAAACATTCCCCGGGCAGCCCCGACACCGGCGGGGTGGGGCGCGGGGAGTTCACTCATTGCTCCCTAGACTCTCCCCAAACTCCCTCAACTTGGGGTGGGGGGCGCGGAACTGGAACAATAGGCAAGAAAACAATGCCTGACCCGGTCTTCCAGGACCGGGCGGGGGGAGCCCCCCCCACGCCTCCCTTCCCTTCAGGTGGGGTGGGGGAGGGGCACGCGAGCCCCGGGAGGTCTCCGGAGGGCGCGGCCGGGGGCGCCCCGCGCACGCCGCCCCCAGGGTCCCGCCGCCCCCCGCGGGCCACCCCCATACCTTGGTGGACGGCCACGCTGCACGCGTGCCCATCGCAGTAGACCAGCGGGTTCTCGGCCCAGCCCCTCTCGTCCGAACATACGCAGCAGCCTCCTACCATCTCCTTCATACTCCCATGAGCTCCCTCCGGGGCTGGGGCGGGGGGCCGGCCGGCGGGGGTCGGGGGTCAGGGGGGAGGGAGGGAGCGGGGGGCCGCGCGCCTCCTCGCCCCCTCCTCCTCTTCCTCCGCCGCCGCCGCTTCTTTTCTTTGCCTCCTCCTTCCTCCTCCTCCGCGTCCTCCTCCTCCTCCTCCTCGCTCGCTCTGTCTGGCCGCCCCCCCCGCCGTGCTCTCGCCCTCATGCCCCGACGGGCCCCCCCCACAACAATGAGACTCGCACGCCGGGCTCGCCCCCTCCGCGCCGCTCGCCCGGCTCCTAAGGCCGCCCCGCCGCCGCGCAGCCCGGGCCCGGCGGGGGAGGCGCCGAGTGGCACATCGCGGGCGCCCGCCCGCCCCGCGCCGCCCCGCGCCACCCGCTCACGCGCCGCCCCCCCGGCCCCCCTGCCCGGCCGCGGCAGCCATGGCCGCGCGCCTCCGCTCGCTCGCTCCCGGCCCGCCCGCCGCCAGCCGCCGGGTAAAGTCTTAGGTTCAGGGAACAAAGCCTGGCTTGGTAGGGAGCTTTTCGCTCGTTCGCTCCGTGCTGCTTTGCCTGCTTTCTTTTTCGTTTTAGGGCTCTGGGTCGTCGCTCCCGAGCCCTCCCTCTGCCCGCCCTCCCGTCTCGGGCCCCGGGTCCCCGAGTCTCCAGCCCCCTCCGCCAAGTCTTCGTCTCTGGGTGGGTTCTTCAGCCCCAGGGAAACTTGGGGGTGGAGACCGGGGAAAGGGGCGCTAGGAGGAATGGGAGCGACGCGGGCCGTTCGCCCCCGCCCCACCCCGTGTCTGGGGGTCTGTTTGGATGGCCGCCCTCGGGCCCTTTTCTCGGAGGCCACTCTGGAGGGTAGACGCTGTCACACGCAGACACTTATTCATTCAACAGATATTTATTAAACGCTCGTTGCCAGTCGCTGGGATCGAGTAGAGAGCAAAACATATTCCTGCCCTCGGGGAGCTTCCTGTCGGGTTCACAGACACACACGCACACACAGGGACTCGGAGCCCCAGAGACACACACCGAGGCACCCACAGACACGAGCTAACTCCCAGCTTCAGTCACACCACTGACCCTCCCAGAGACACGAACCTCCGCTCCAGCCCCGCGCGCGCGCTTAGAGACCCACGAGAGTTAGAGACCCGCAACCATGAGGTGCTCACGAACACCAGTTACACTTGACCTCTAGGCACGCGCACAGACACACAGCGTAACTCACACGCAGCACTCCAGAGGACTAAAGTCCCTGCAGTTGGGTCTGGGAGAGAAGTGAGGGGCGTCGGCCCAAACGCTTCTTCCCAAGACCTGTGTGGGCAAGAGGGGGGTGAGATCTGACCCCCCAAAAACTTCCTAAAGGGGGGCGACGCTCGTGGGACTAAAGGTCACCCGCCCCCCACAGCGGGAGTTCGGGTGGCGTAGGGGAGAAGGCAGCCCTGGGGGCTTCAACGACACTTCAAAGACCTCGAGGCCGGGAACGCTTCCTGCGGGGGAGGGGCAAACAGAGAGAAGGGAAGACGGGCCGGGGGACTGGCGGTGGAGGAGGTCGCCCCCCCTTCGGTGCACTGCCCCCTGGCAGACTCTTCCGCCGGGTCCGCCTCCTTTTCACCAGCACCTGTTCAACCGGAACATCAAGGGCCTGGGGCCCGCCGCGGCCCCCCGTCGGCTCTTTAGTACCTTTCATCCGGGAAGGGAGGTGAATCCCCGCCCAGGAGGGGGGAGTAGGGCGGGGGAGAACTTGTCCTTGACCTGGTCTTTGGCATCAGGGATTTACTCCCTTAATCCCGGAGAGGCGGGATTGTGGGGAAGTCGGGGAAGCTGAGTTCTGGGCTGCAGCCCCCCACCTCCCCTCGCTCCGGTGGACACAGGGAATCTCGGAGGGCTGCCGGGACGAAGAGGCTACATCTACACAGGGCGGTGTAGGGGAAGCCGGTCTCTTTGACCTCCGTGCCTGGGAGTAGGGGCCGAGAGCCAGATTATTGCGATGGCCGGGATCCCGGCGAGGACTGCCGCGCTCCGGTTCCTTGGTCAAATTTGTAAATTTCGCTAACACGAAAAGTTAAACAAGACACAGAGGAGAAACTGCACTTAGGGGTTTCTAACGAATTACCTTTACTAGCAAGAATAAAACTGCAAGAATGTTAAACGTAAAAATGTCAGTCCTAAATCATGCACGAGTTTCAGAATATTTGAATATTTGCTTTTGGGACCCAACGCTGCCAAGGTGGCCGCAGTTTCGGGTTTCGCCGGACGGGGGTTACTAAAAGGTGCCTACGCCCTAGGGGTGGACGACCTGGAGACGGGGACCGGGAAGCCTTTGTCTCAGGTCACCCCGCGCCAGGTTTGTCGCCTAAGTTTATGGGATGGACGGGAGACAACACTTGTAAGTTTAGCGTTTTAGGAACATTGTTTCGTTTAATCCTACCCACACCCTTTTAGGGTGGGTGTTCATATCTCCCATTTTGTGAATAGAGCAACTGAGGTTTCGACGGGAAGAAGTGACTCGCCCAAAGTTACTCAGCCTGAAATTGGCAGAGTCGGGACTTGAACCCATTCTGTGCCCCGCTACGACAGGGGTTCCGCCACCACGCGTTGGTCGAGAGCGGGTGCGGAGCTAGGATGTCCGAGCCGCCTCTACCGGCCCATCCGCAAATGCTCCCTGCGAGTTCTGGAGAAACCCGGTGCCCCGCGGGCTGGGCTGGATTCGTGGCGAGTACCCAGGGTCGAGCTGTCAAGTTCAGTCTCAAGCTTCTATCATTTATTTTCCTGAGCGCCCACTATGTGCCGATCCGCAAAAAACAAGCAAGAGCAGGAACCAGCCAACAAGTGGTTCAAGTTCACCGCGCTCTCCCCGGAGTAACTGAGCACTGCTTTGGGGTGTCACGCAGACCCTGGCGGTGCGACTTTCGGCGAGTGACTTCCCCTTTGCGAAATCCGGCTTGTCCCTCTGTAAATGGGGCGTTAGTACCCCTGGACAGGGGCTGTAGCGAACACCGAACGAAAATCCTTTTGTAAAGCGTGAAGGCACACAGTAGGTGCTCAATCCCTGCTCGTGCCCTCTCCGCCGCCCTATGCGTGCCGGGGCCGCGCGCTCCCGCTCCTGCTTCCCGCCTCCCGCATCTTCTCCCGTCTCGCGCGTCCCGCGGCGAAGGGACTGGGGCAGAGACGACCAAACAGAAAATTATTTCCGCCCGCTCGCCCCGCCCCGCCCGTCCCCGGAGCCAGAAGGGGATTGTGGGGCCGCCGCGGCCGCCGCCGGAGCCGAGCGGGGCGGAAGCGCGCGTCGCGCTGCTGCTCGGGCCCGACCGCGCCGGCCCGCACCTCCCGGCCCGGAGCTGCGGGCTGCGGTCGGGGCGGTCCCGGGGCCCGAGGCAGCTGCCGCGGGGCAAGTTTCCGCGAAGCCTGGCTCGCCGGTTCCGGGAATCAAGCGGGGGAGGCTGGAGGATGTTGAGGTTTCGTTTCTGCCAGCCGACCGGGCGCTTGGTTTCGCAGGTGCCAGGGGTCGGGGGTACGACCTCTCCCTCTGGGCCATTAGACAGACCCGGGCTCGGAGAAGAGGCTGCGCCAACGCCCGAGGGTTTGCGTTTCCTTCGCGTCTCGTTTGCACACCATTTTCTCCCCTAAAACCAAAGCTTCTGACCTTGGGGGTGTTCGAAGAGGTTAAGTCACTTTCCCCCAGGTAGTCCAGCCAGCGAAAGGCTTCAGCCAGAAGGGCCTCCTGCCCGAGCGGGGACCCACTAGAGTCAGGCAGACCTAAGTTCGAGTCCCAACCCTGCCACTTTCTTGCTTTGACCATGGATTGGTAGTGACTTATCTGCGACCCTCAGTTTCCCCATCGCAGACTGCAGTACCAACCTCAGGGCTGATATGAGCAGTGACATGTCAAGTGCCCGGCACAAAGAAGGGTGATTTCCCCATTAAAGGGTATGACTCGGAGGCGATCTATCCAGTAGGCCTGGGTGGCTTAGGAGGGTGGGTGTACAGTTTGTTTCCTAAGTCACCCTGTGCGAGATGGAGGGAGGCTCAGTTTCAGGAGGAACTGGTGGGAGTGAGGGGATTTCCCTGACATTAGGAAGTCAGCAGTCATGATTATTGTAAATAGTGACTCTGCATATGTGGGAGTTTGGGCTTTTCAGGTCTTTCTACAGGAAGAACACAGTGCTTAATATCAAATCTTGCCCTCTGCCATTAGCTAGCAGCCTCAGTTTGCCAATCGCTAAAATGGTGATAGTTGGATTCCCCCCCCAACCCCCGCCTTACCCCAGTCTACAAGATTTTGGTAACTCCACCTGGCCAAGGTCCTAGCAAGTGCTTCAAGAGCTGTGAGTGAGCCCAGGTAGTTCCCTGACCATGTTAGAGCATCAGGGACCTCCTTTAGGGAGATAGGATGGGTAGGAAGGGAACAAGTTCATGGGATGAGGTAGTATCTACCCAAACTTTTTCCAGAGCTGCATGGACCCTAGTCCCAGCCCTGCCCCTAACCAGCAGTGTGACCTTGGGCAAAGCAGTCACCCTCTCTGGTATTTGGTCAGGTGACCAGATCTTGAAAGTCCCCTTTGTGGTAACATTCTATAAGTTGATGACTCTGCTCCTGGGGAAATTTCCAGGGTAAGCGATGACAGATGACTAGCACATTTGCCCTGCTATGTTCCACTTTACCAGTTCCTCTTACAGCCTAATCTTTTTTTTTTTTTTTTTTTTTTGAGACAGAGTCTTGCTCTGGCACCCAGGCTGGAGTGCAGTGATGTGATCTCGGCTCACTGCAACCTCCACCTTCTGGGTTCAAGAGATTCTTCTGCCTCAGCCTCCCGAGTAGCTGGGACCACAGGCTCATGCCACCACGCCCGGCTAATTTTTTGTATTTTTAGTACAGACGGAGTTTCACCGTGTTAGCCAGGATAGTCTCCATCTCCTGACCTCGTGATCCCTCTGCTTCAGCCTCCCAAAGTGCTGGGATTATAGGTGTGAGCCACCATGCCCGGCCTTACAGCCTAATCTTCATCCCTCCTCTTATAGTTACCATCAGGACAGAAGTTGAAAAAGTTTAATTATTTGGTCTTTCAGCAGAAACTCACTGAATCATTATGGGCTGGCCATGGGAGATACACAGATAGCACCTGGGGATGATAGACATAAGAAAGTATTAACAGATACATGGAGACACATGGAAGGTACACAGATAGCTAGTGAGGGTGATAGACATAGGGAATTATTAACTTCAGGGTGAAAAGGGCTATGACAGTGCTATGAATGGTGCTGATACTGCAGGGAGGAAGTAGCTGAGTTTATGGGGTCAGGGAAGGCCTGAACTGGGACCAAGTGGGTGAGGGAGAGTTTGCAGGCAGTTAAGGGGCAGAAGAGCATTCCAGGCAAGGGGAACAGCATGTTCAAAGGCGTAGAGGTGGCCAGGCATGGTGGCTCACGCCTGTAATCCCAGCACTTTGGGAGGGTGAGGCGGGTGGATCACGAGGTCAGGAGTTCAAGACCAACCTGGCCAAGATGGTGAAACCCCGTCTCTACTAAAAATACAAAAATTAGCTGGGCATGGTGACAGGCACCTGTAATCCCAGCTACTGAGAAGGCTGAGGCAGAGAATTGCTTGAACCCTGGAGGCAAAGGTTGTAGTGAACCAAGATCGTGCCGATGCACTACCTGAATGACAAGAGTGAAACTCTGTCTCAAGGAAAAAAAAAAAAAAAAGAATTAGCAGGGCATGGTGGCGCATGCCTGTAATTCCAGCTACTCGAGAGGCTGAGGCAGGAGAATTGCTTGAACCCAGGAGGCGGAGGTTGCAGTGAGCCAAGATTGCGCCATTGCACTCTAGCCTGGGCAACAGAGCAAGACTCCATCTCAAACACACACACAAAGAAACAAACAGAAAAGGTAGGATGTTAAGAAGGATGTTCAGATGAACCCCATCCACCAAATCCATCCCATAGGCTGTACCTCTGGGAGTCCTCCCCTCAGTCATGCCTGGTGTAGTCTAAGGTATTTGGTGGATGGGGTCCGTCTGTGCACTGAACAATAGAACCTAGGAGCAGGGTGGGTTGATGGAGCTCGTAACAAACTGCTTTGGATGTGCTGACGTTGGGTGCCTATGGCACAAGAGGTGGTGATGCCCAGTAGGCAGTTGACTATTTGTGTCTGGGTCAGCAGAGAGGGTAAGAGGGACAGCCGGATGTCCTGAGCAGCAGGAGAGTTTGTTATAGAAGGCAAGGACGTTTAAGGAGGAAGCAATGCTAGGGTCACATGCCATTGAGAGGTCGAGGGAGGGAAGGGTTCTACAAGGAGGAGGTCCCTGGTGACCTTAGCCTGGAAGGTTCTAGGCACTGGTGGTGGTGGAGGCTGACTGCAGTGGGTCAAACATGAATTGGGAGGGGAGAAGGGAGGAAATCATGGATTGGGAGGAAAGGGAGGAAATAGTGGAGAATAGCACTAGGGGGATGGGAGGATCAGGAGGCAAGGAACTTGGAGGCAAGGAACTTGGAAGCAAGGCTGGACACCCATGATGTAGATGACAATAGCAACAATAACAGCAACAGCTCCCCATTCGGTGAGAGTTTATTATGTGCCAAGCAATGTGCTAAGCATGTAATATACTCCCTGCAACAAGACTGAGATAGGTTCTATTCTTGTTGCCATTTTACAGAGCTACTCGGACTCTAGTCCCAGCCCTACCCCTAACCAGCAGCGTGATCTTGGGCAAAGCAGTCACTCTCTCTGGTGTTTGGTCAGGTGACCGGATCTTGAAAGTCCCCTTGGTGTTAACATTCTGTAGGTTGATGACTGTGCTCCTGTGGAAATTTCTAGGGCGAGGAAAGAGCAGTGGGTGCAAAAGTAGGATTTGCACCTTACTTTTTTTTTTTTGAGACAGAGTTTCACTCTTGTTGCCCAGGCTGGAGTGCAATGGCATGAGCTCAGCTCACTGCAACCTCCACCTCCCAGGTTCAAGCGATTATCCTGCCTCAACCTCCTGAGTAGCTGGGATTACAGGCATGTGCCACCACGCCTGGCTAATTTTGTATTTTTAGTAGAGATGGGGTTTCTCCATGTTGGTCAGACTGTTCTCAAACTCCCGACCTCAGGTGATCCGCCTGCCTTGGCCTCCCAAAGAGCATGAGCCACTATGCCCAGCCCTGGCTAATTTTTTTTTTTTTTTTTTTTTTAGTAGAAATGGGGTTTCACCATGTCGGCCATGCTGGTCTTCAACTCCTGACTCCGTGATCTGCCCACCTTGGCCTCCCAAAGTGCTGGGATTACAGCATAAACCACCACGCCTTGCCTGGGCTGATCTTGACTCAGCTCAGGCAATCCTCCTGCCTCAGCCTCCCAAAGTACTAGGATTACAGGTGTAAGCCACCGTGCCCAGCTGGCACCCTGCTTTTAACTAGGTGTCCAAGGGGTTGGTCTAAATTATCAATCAGGGAGGTGTTCTGGGGCTAATTCAGAACTCATGTTTCCCTGTTCCCCAAGACTCTATCTGTGTGACACTACTGTTAATTCACTGTCATCTATGTAATCAGTTACCATTTGCTGACCCCAACTGTGTGCCAGATAATGGGCCAAGCACTGATACTGCAGGAAGGGTAAGAGCAGTTCTGGTCCTGCAGGTGCTTGGGGTTGAGGGGAAGGCTGCCGGACAAGCAGTACAATACGCCTTATATCTGGGAATGGACCACCTGCAGAGGGAGTCCACCATGTTTAGAGGGTACAAGTATTTGGTGGGGGAGGAAGGGAAGATGAGAGAAGACAGGAGGAAGGGGATCAGGACACCTCACACATGGCCCAGGCTTGATCCCAGGAGGATGAGGTCACATGGAAGATGCTGAGCAGATGCACATTGGTGACTTTTGCTGGGCCACAGAAGAGTAGGCAATTAGAGGGGTTAGAATGAAAGATGGAGCCACTTTTGAAATTACTGCAAGTGCTAGAAGGGAAGCTCTGTAGGGCACTGATTTTTATGTGTTGTGTTTGAGCATCGGGATCAGTGTCTGGCACAGAGTAGGTGCTCAGCTAACACTTATTGAATGAATGAATGCTTGAGCCTCTCTGGGAGTGTCCGTGGGGTTGGAGAAGGGGGAGTTTTAGAGGGTGAAATCAAGAGAAGGGGATAATTGACAATTGGCAGTCATAGAGTAAGAGGATGACTACCAGGTTTCTGCCTGAAGCTGGAATCCTGAGGAAGGGAGGAAGAGCAGGGCTGGCAAAGGGCTGATGAGTTCAGTTTGGGGCTTGCTGAGCCTGAGGTCCAGTGGACTGTCCCAGAAGGGGGTTGAGTGTACGTATCATATTAAAAATTAGAAACTGCTTCTGAAGCCTATGTCATATATCCTGTGTCTACCTCTTCTGCCATATTCTTGATACTCTGAAAAAAATTCAGAGGTGTCTTTGAGCACTGTCAGCAATAGATGGTAACTGAAGCCCTGGAGCAGGTGAGATCATGACGGGAGGCTGTGCAGGTGCAGAGCGGAAAGCAGAAGGCCAGGGCCAGCGGCCCAGGGAATGCCGGCACTGAAGAGGGAGAGGAACCGGGCTGGGAGCATGAGAAGGAGTATCCAGACATGGAGGGAGAGCCTGAAACTCTCCCTCCATCACTGGATACAAGCAAATGGGGTCCTAGGAACCTGAGAGAAGACAGAAAGGAGAGAGGGAGTGTCCCTGCAAGGCAGGTGTCTCAGAGAGGGGTGACTGATCCAGCATGGTGAAGGGGAATATAGCCCATCCTTCCTAGGGGCTGGGCTGGGAGGACAGCAGGGGAGATGGATGCAAGGTCAGAGGAAGGGTGGCATGAGTTCTTTTTAGGGGGAACAGTCTCAGGTGTGATAGCTTTCATGGACAAGATGAGGCGCTCTTCCGTGCCAGAGAGAAGGGAGGAAGCAAAGGATGTGGACAGATTGGCGTGTGTGTGTGTGTGTGTGTGTGAGATGAGTGTGTGTGTGTGTGTGTGTGTGTGTATGTGTGTACAGGATTTTTCTGCTTGGTAGACTGTTATTTTCTCTTTAAAAACTTTTTTTTTTTTTTTTTTGAGACAGAGTCTCGCTCTGTTGTCCAGGCTGGAGTGCGGTGATGAGATCTCAGCTCTCTGCAACCTCTGCCTCCCAGGTTCAAGTGATCCTCCTGCCTCAGCTTCCTGAGTAGCTGGGACTACAGGCACCTGCCACCATGTCTGGCTAATTTTTGCATTTTTAGTCGAGACAGAGTTTCACCACATTGGCCAGGCTGGTCTCCTGACCTTGTGATCTGCCTGCCTCGGCCTCCCAAAGTGCTGGGATTACAGGCGTGAGCCACCCACCGTGCCCAGCCCTAAAAAAATTTTTTAAGGCCAAGCATGGTGGTTCATACCTGTAATCTCGGCTCTTTTGGAGGCCAAGGCAGGTGGATCACTTGAGGCCAGGAGTTCGAGACCAGCCTGGCCAACATGGTGAAACCTTGTCTCTACTAAAAATACAAAAATTAGCTGGGTGTGGTGGTGCACCTCTGTAATCCCAGATACTTGGGAGGCTGAGGCACGAGAATTGCTTGAACTTGGGAGGCGGAAGTTGTAGTGAGCTGAGATCGTGCTACTGCACTCCAGCCTAGGCAACAGAGCAATACTCTGTCTTTTTTTAGGCCAGGTACTTTGAGAGCACAAGGCAGGAGGAATCACTTGAGCCCAGGAGTTTGAGACCAGCCTGGGCAACATAATGAGACCCTGTCTCTACAAAA